CGTTGGGGTTCGTCTAGATGCTTGGGATTCATTTTCATGGTTGTGTGATTCCTTGTTTTTTGTTTAGGTTTCGGTGGGGTTGATGGATACAAGTGTTGACGGGTTTGGGTATTGTCCTGGTGTGCATGGTTACGATTTTGGGTAACCCGATTTTAATTTTTGCTGATTTGACTGGATCTGGGTTGCTTGTGTTCTGGGTTTTGTGTATCTGGGATCCGATATTAGTTCTGTTCAAGCAAGATATTAGTTTTCATTTGCCTAGATATTTGTTTGGTATATCTGGATATTCCTACGTTGATTTGGTTTTGGTCGAGCTTGATATCAGTTGTGAATTGCCTAGATAGTTGTTTGACGAATTTGGATATTCTACTGTGCAGGGAAATCACAATGGCAAGAACTAAACCTACTGCAGCAAGGAGGACCAGAACAGAAGGCGAAACCTCGAGGCCTAAACGTGCTAAACAACAACAGCAAGATGAGGAAGAAGAATTTGATTTGAGGATGCAAAAATTGAGCACGAAGACGATGATGACCAAGACGATGAGGAGGAAGATGATGAGGACAAAGAAAATGATGAGGAATTTTCTGAAGGAGGAGGAGGGCGCCGATATAGATTTCGCTGTAGCACCAAGAAGGTGCTGTCAATTTTAAAAGACAGGAAGTAAGATCCACGGTACTATCAAGCTTTCAAGAGAGAGATCGAGAAGGCTGGATTTGGAGGTCTATTTGAGCTTAGGCTGGCCAATGTTCCTAAGGAGATGCTGCCTACCTTGATGGCACATTACGACATGTGCACCGACAACTTCATTTTTGGTGAAGGCGAGAACAAGAAGGTGCTCACCATTTGTTGTATGCTTATTGGATTGTTTATTGTATGCTTGACCTTCTGGCTCATTGCTCTTTGTTCATCTGACCTGCAATAGGTGCTCACTATCCAAGATGAGGATGCTGCCCGTGTATACGACATTCCTATTGGTGGTGCTGAGATTGATCTTGTGAAGGAAAATAAGTCGATGCTCAAGGTTCTGAAGGAGGAGCTCGGCATGGAGGGTAATCGGGAACGAGATGTTAAAGTTGTGGAGTTGACTAAGTCGACTAAAGGTCGGGGGAGAGAGAGGAGGAGACCACCTGTTGCAGTTGCAGTGAAGTAGTTGCTACTTGTGCCTCTTGGTTCGTTGCTCGTTCCAACAAGCTCTCAGATCTGTAAGTTAGACTATGCAGAGTACTTGGCGGGGTGGGTTGAGGACATTCGAACTTTTAATTGGAGTGGTCATGTCGCCCGCGAGCTGAAGGTAAAGCTGTCCGTAAAAAAAAAAAAAAGAAGTTGCTGCTAGGACCAAGGGACAAATGATGCCGTGGGTTAATGGGGATATCCACTTCTTGATGGTAAGTTATAGTTTAAACTTTAAAGATGTGTATATTTGTTAGCATTCTTGGGATATTAGTTATTTTAATACAAGGTATCTTTTTAGCATGACTGGGTACTAGTCTGGGCTGCCTGGATAATGGTTGTTTTTTATTGGGATATATTTTCTAACATACACTTTTCTTGTAGCTTCATTTGATGGACTTCCTTATGGTGAGAGGATTCGCTACAAATACAATCCTCAGTTGCAACTATTGGTTTGAAGCAAGGTTGGATAACCTATGCTTGGTTGTCCCCAAGGCGGAGCTATATAATGTGGCTCTCGTGTTGCTGTCGAGAGAAGAAGTCCGATCTCGCTTCTTTCCAGGACGTGTCAGGAGGGAATGAGAATCAGGAACAAGCAGCTCAGCTCCTCATACAGCTTCTCCGCAGTTCTACGTGATAGAATGGTGGGAGGAAACAGATTTGGAATCCCTTGAGACCGACGGGTATGTAGATGATTGTCTTTTAAACTGAAAATTGTGGGTTAGTAGACATGAGTGCATGTAGTAAACTAAACTTTTTGGGATGTATGTTTAGTTTAAGGCACTGCAGTCCTTGACTGAAAAATTGATGCATAAGTGGGATTCATGGCGGGAAAGTGTCCGAAGTGTTGCCATTAAGCACCAGCAAGACAAGAATTGAACTTTGCATGTTTCTTCTATTTAAGGGGTTGTAATGTTTCTTTATAGGATGATACAATTGCCATGTTGGAATGGATTTCTTGATAGAATGCTATAATTGCCATGTTGGAATGACTTTGAACAATAGTTGTATCGAACAAAAGTTTGTATCCTGTTGATTTGGGATATTGGTGTGTATTTGTTTTGGATATTATTTATGAATTGCATGAATGAAAGTTGTTTTTATAACAGGGTAGTAGTTATTTTCAGTCTGGATATTTTTGCATTATGGATATTTAGCATTATGGATATTGGAATGGAAGCACAGGTTAATAGTTCCTTAAAGCCTAGTTACTACATAAGTAGATAGAAGTCTGGGCTTTCTGGATACTAGTACAAAACTTCAAGATATTAAATGTTTCACAAGCAGATATTAATCTGTGTTCTTCTGGATATTCGTTTCTTAATTGTTAGATACTTATCCGGGCAGTCCGGATAATAACGTTTATATGCTTGCACCCGTTTTCCAGCTCGACTTTGTGGGTGCTGAGCTTGACAGGAATCGGGGCAGATTGGCAAGTATTTTCTTCGTCTTTGGTAGCAGTAGCAAAAGCAAAAATGGAAGAGGAGGTAGTTGTCATGGAGGAGGAGGTTAGTCAAGGTACAGTGAGAGACAACAACATGTTTAGCTGCGTGTACTCCCAGAAAGGACATAAGAAGACAGTGTTGTCAGTTGTTCAGGAGTTTGAGGTGTCATCTGTTACATCAATAGTTGATGACGTGGTTGAGTTAGTCGGTAAGTCGACTGTTGGGGAAGTGTTGGAGTCGGAGTCATTTCTTGAGCCCGAGGTGATGGATACTGTTGCTGATCCGGTAGTTCAGCACATGGAGTCGCCGGCCATTGTGTCTACTTTTGATCCAGTGGTGGAGTGAGAGTCAATTGTCCAGCCTACGACAAAATATATAGAAAGTAAAAATTCCGATTTTATACCGACCCGGATACGACATTTGCTGATGTGATGCAGATTGGTTTCCAGGCCACTGCTGCTGCTGAAGAGAGTATCGGGACATTTCTGACTACGGTAATATTTCCCTTAACAGTAGATACTAGCTTGGACTCCCAGGACATTTGTTTATTTTTCTGTGGATACTAGCCTGGGCTGCTAGGATATTTGTTTCTTTTTCTGTAGATACTAGCCTGGGCTGTCAGGATATTTGTTTCTTGTTGAGTAGATACTAGCATTTGGCAATGTTTTGCAGATACCTACCGAGGCAACTGTTGCTGCTCATGAGAGTATCAAAACATCTCCGACTACAGTGGTCGATCCTTCTATTGAGGTTCTAACGGAAGGAGAAGTAGGACAATCCAAGGAGGAGCTTATAGCAGCAACATGTGAGAGGATAGAGAATAATTTAGGACTGAGGAGGAGGCAGAGTATATGTACTCTATCACACCGGAAGCATGGAAGGCAACCATAAAAACTCCAGAGTTCGATAGGTCAAAACACCACCCATTTGGTGAATCAGTGTACGTTCTGCCAAAGACTCTGTCGACAAAACTCGACGATACGACCCAGCAAGTGGTTGAGTTCATCTTCAGTACCACTGCTAAAGACGAGTAAGTTGTCTGGGGAGTTATTTAATCACCAATTTTAATCTGTCGAACACACATTTCTAACCTGGTTTTCATTTGTGTTTTACAATGGCAAATTTGTCGTGGATACTCCAACTGGTAACCTTACCCATTCCCAGCTACTTTCATTGAAGGGCACAAATTGGCTGCATAGCCAAGTACTTGTTGTATACGGGCTATTCCTAAATAACAAAGAAGTACGCAAGGAGGTGGTGAAGAGAATTGTCTTCCCATGGAGCTATGTAGTAAGCATTATCTTCACTACTTAGATCCTATTTATATTGAAAATGTCTAATTTGATATTGTTGTCTCTTCTAAATAGCAACATGCCGTCAGTAATGTTGTCAAAAAAACAACCCATGGACAAGGCGAGACTCCCTGCGTATATTTCTATGCACAGAAGGAATCCAATTCTGAAACGGGAAAACTTGGAAAGATGTGATTACGTAAGTGTCTTCAATGTTTGGATTTTTTAATGATTTTCCTTGATATTGGTCTGGGTTTATAGGATATTATTCTGGTCTGTTGAGATATTAATCTGTGTTGTTAGGATATTAGTCAATGATTGCGCAACATTGTCGACGTTCTTCAGCAAGTAGGAAACCATGATTGCGCGGTGTATTTGCATGCCTTTACATTGAGCAATGGGCGGGTCACCTTCCAGTGGAATATAAAGCAAGTTGGCACAAGCAGCCACATGTAGAGGAACAGCGAGCACAGATTGCAGCCAACCTCATGTTATGGGACTATAACCGCCGCATCGATGCAATAATTCAAGGTGCAAAAGATTGAAATACGAAGAAAGAGAAAGAAAAAGGGAAAAGGAAGAGAAGTTGATTTTAGACTTATGTAGTGTGATATTGGTTTGGAAAACTGAACTTAGGGTTGGATAATATTTGGGGATGGAAGCTATTTAGGGTTGGATAATATTTAGGGATGGATGATGGTTTGTAGCAGGATGAAGGAGATTTTGCCAGATGTTGGATATAATTACTAACATAAGTTCTGATTGAAAAATATATCGTAACCTCCCAGGTAAATATCTGTCTTTTTGTAGACTAATATCCTTAAAACACAGACAAATATCCTTACAGCCCAGACAAAAAAGCTTCTTTATTTGGACATATATCAACAAATCCCAGACCAATATCCAAAAGACCCAGACAGATACCCGTCTTCCTATTGATAACAGAATAATGTCCTTAAGGCCCAGACCGATACCCTTCTTTTTGTAGACTAATATCTTTGGAGCCCAGACTAATAATAGATAAAGATGGATAACACTTTGAATCAGAAATCGAAACAAACTCAACACAATACAAAATTATGACAGGAAATACTAACTCATTTTTTTCACGGTCTTCTTGGTGTTATCTTCATCATCCGACTCTGAAAAAGCGGGTAACATTACTTCGTCCCAATCCATGTGAAAACCACACCCCTTATCATTGTCGTACTCGTATATCAGACATCGGAAATACCTCTTTGGTGGGTTGACTCCATCAACAGCAAGTCGTCTAGCGACTCTCAAACCATGGTAACAGAGTATAACACCATCATATTCGAACTCATCCACCAATCCCCGACGCGCTGGTTTAGGAGTCTCTTCAGACATGGATTTTGCTTTGGTAGAGAAGTGAAAAAGAAACGGAGGGAGGAGGACAGCCGATTTGGGTTTGTGTACGATTTGTCTTAAATAGACAAATGCTCATAGGGAAGTACTCTAACATGTAAAACGTCACATGAGTATAGTAACAAAAAATGTCACATATGAATAATGAAAGAAGTAATCATTGGTATTATTGAACCTGCTTTTGAAAATACTGATATCCAGGAAGCCCAAACTAATATCTGTACCATGAGTAATATTATCATCCAAATCACTAAGATGGTCATCCGGTTGAGTGTTGTTGTCCTGCGTGACCACTTCAAATGATTTCATTCTCTTCTTATAGACACGTTTCTTTCGACGACGTTCCTTTTCAGTCATAGACTGATAGCGTTCTTTACATTGGCTCCTTGGATTACTCTTCTCCTTCAAAGTCAGCCCAGTTATCTGTACATTCTGTCCTACAATGTTAGAGAATTTAGTAAATGCAATGATATTAAACTCTAACCGTTTACAAATGATATTAGTGAATACACTTACTATCCTCTCTAGTTATAATCTTTGCCAATGCCTTGTTTGCCTCATTGCACAGTTTCTTGAGTACTCTCATCCACTTATTGTAGTCTTTCTCATCGGCCATCGACATATTCGTTGCTAGTTAATTCAACATTGCAGTGGTTTCTCGGTACCGAATTGCTATACCTTTTCCCGCATCATTCTCACTGGTAGCTGAAGGACCAACAAGGGCAGTTAGACCCTCATGAACTACACTACTCAAGGATAACCCAAGAAAACCTCTATCTTTCTCGCCTCCAACATCCATCGCTTGGGTATGTAATGATCTGGAATACTTCTCATATTGGCTTCCCCAAAATCTCCAAGAAGTCGCATCACCTTAATCATGTGGCGGCGTAACACTCTGAAAGTTCTGAACATCCTACATTCGCATACCAATGTCCTCGTAGAAACATCGATGAGAACGACACGCTCATCACTACGCTCACCATCCTCTATCATATATGTGCGGTAGACAATCATGCCATCATCACTAGTATCAAGAGCATGTCTATTAGATAGGATTCAGTTTTCAAATACTGCTCCTATATCCGATTGAAGATGTTAGAAGTAAAGATCTTTGCCGCATGTTGTAGGATCGGGCTGTGCTCCAACATTATATAGGGAACCGATTGTTTCCCTTTGTAGTCTGATTCAGTCTCCTTGCATATTTTTTCAGCCAACAAACTACATATAGAAAGCACGAGAAAAGAGTTTAGTGCCTAGACTAATATCCACTCAGACTAGTACTAATATCCCACCAAAAAAAAAAATATTTAACAAAAATATCCAGATGACAAACAAAAAGTTCCATACCTAACAAGCTAATATCAAAGAAAGGCAAAGAAATATATTGCGTACGTACCTGCTAAAGTGAATGAAAAACAAGTCCAAATCATGCATCTGTTTCAAGAAAAGTCACGCTTGTGCATTGCACGACTCGCTGTTTTGCGTAGTCAACATCCCGGCTGTAAATTCATCTCTCAACCATAAGGAACACCATCGATGACGATTTTTTCCAAATATTCCAACCATGGGTGACCGTCTGCAATTTCGCTATTAGGGAAACAATCAGCAACCACTGTGCTCCATGCCATGTCGAACTCTCCCTCACTATCGATGTCGTAGAAAATAGAAAGATGAGTTTGGAACTTTTTCCAAAATGTCTTGTCCTTATGAAGATGCTTCTTGGCATTCATGAGGATGTGCCAAGTACAGAGTGCATGTAACACAGTAGGCCACTCCTTTCTAAGCGCAGCTGCCATGGCGGCGTCCTGATTAGTAAAAATAGTGGCAGGGAGCTTCTTCTTCATGCCCTGACTAAATGCAACAAACAACCATTCCAAAAACGGTGTAGTCTCATCATACATCAAACAAGCACCAAACACACAAGTTTGACGGTGGTGATTGAAACCTACAAACATCCATGCATAAGACAACTATTAATGACAATGCATAACCGAACGAGTGTTGAAAAAACTCAAGGGAATTAGGTGATTACTCTCCTACTATAATTGTTTCATGGGCCTTTGGCGGGCAGCCCTAACTAAGGTCGCAAGCCTTATGTGTTAGGACTTGATAGTGTGCCAACACATGTCAACAAATATCTGTAAATCCCAGACTAGTATCTCATAATGACGGACTAATATCCGTCATGTCACAAAAGCATATCCTGTCATCACATGTCAATATCGGATCGCAACAGACCACTCTCGAACCACCCTACATTCTATTCATAACCATTTCTGTAACCCAATTTAATCACAAACCGGGCCCACGTTTCCCACTTTCTCTCGCCCAAAACAAAGTCAGCTCCATCCCTTCCTTCAGATGAGTTAAAAAGCCCACCAGCAACCAATTACATGAGCCCGTCAATCTCGTCCCTTGGATCGCAGATGCAGGGACATGGCCACAATCCGGCCCGTGTCAGTATCCGTTAACAAAAACGTTTGTTAGCAGTTTAACTTTTTCGCAACTTTATTGACTTGGCAATCAAGCCCTGAAAATAATTGTATTTTTTCAAAAGCGAAACACAAGTTTCCACATTTTCTTCCGGAGCGGATCAAGTCAGTAACCTTAGGGTGAATAACTATGAGCAACCTGTCCACATCAGCATGACATCAGCATCCCTCTATCCTTTTATCTTTTCTCTTTTAACCTTTAACGAACGACTTTTCTCTTGTTTTAAGTCGAAATTTAATTATTTTTTGCACAGATAAATCAGATTAACTATTCTCTTTAAAACGATATTCACTTTGATATATTTTTAGAACAAAAAAATTGAGACATTTTTTACCAGACAATACCATATGGTATTAATTTTTTTTTTACAAAAGATATTCATATAAATTGAATCACCAAAAAGATAGTTACATCCTGGAAATCAGCCAGGTCTGAAAATCAAACACACGACTAGCAGTCGATGACAATGAAAGGGCCTTTCTAGCCACCAAATGGGCTACCCTATTGTTACGTTGACCTACAAATCGAACACTAAACCCCGGATGCAAGGCAAAACAAGACACAACCTCTTCCATAACCGCCCCTATCCGAATATCGCCAATCTCCGCCTGCATGATCTTATCGATGACAACCTTGGCGTCCCCCTCAAAGCACACTTCAGAGAACCCATTCTCAAGACACGACCATAATGCCTCGCGCAGCGCCAGCACCTCCACCACCATAGGGTCGTCAATGCATTGGAATTGAATCCCGCGAACCACCAAAACATCTCTCGCTGGAGTCATCACCACTACTCCACCCGTCGAGTGGCACCCATGCCGCGTCGCCCCATCCCACATGCAGATAACCTGACTACCAATCCTTGTGCTAGTAGGAGGTGGCACTGGATCAGAAAAAGGGTTCACCCACTCAACCGGCATCCTTAGCCACTCATCCACCTGCTGATTTAACTGTCGCATCAAGGCCGGGATCCCGAACTGTTTGCCTTCAAAACAACCCAATTACGAGAGCGCCAGATCCGCCAAAGTACAACAATCACAGTCATAACCAGTTCTGGTTGTCGAATGAGAGCTAACAGTCGTTTAAGGAAAAGCGAGAAAGTATGGCGAGGCAAACACTGACCCTGGTATTCAAGCCCAGAGTAATCCCAGAGCGCCCGAGCCACCGGGCAATCCAGAAACAAATGCTCCAAGGTTTCCTCTGCATCCCAACAGACAGGACATCTAGGGCTCGTTTGCTTGTTGGATTTGAAAATGAGGGTTTTGAGTTTTCAAAACCTTTGGATTTATGATGGATTTGTTGCATTATGGATTTGGAAGAGTACAATGTTTGTGTAGTTTATTTTTGTCATAGATTCATGATGGATTTGTTCACATTTTGCCTTCTATTATCAAATCCCAAATAAAATGTGGGATTTGCAAATCCGTGGGGTCCACGGATTTGGATCTAAAAAATGAGTCCAAATTCGTGGGCCCCACGGATTTGTGTCCCTTAGCAAACAATTGACTTGTGCCAATTCCATTATGCTTGGAATTTGGGTACCAAATCCATCACCCAAATCCCACAAGCAAACAATACCCTAGGGTGGATCAACACATCCTTATTCCAAAGAGCCTCTGTTGTGGGAAGAATCCGATTAAAAACTTGCCAAACAAACACCTTAAGCTTGGGCAGGATGTTGGCTTCCCATAACCAGATCCAGCTGGGTCTATCCATCCAACTAACCGTAGCTTTACAATGACTGTTCTGTTGATCCAACCAGACGACAAGGTGATACGCCGACTTAACCGAGAAAACACCATCAGCTGGGTCATTCCAGACAAGACGATCCTCTATGCATTGCCGTGGGAGTGGAATAGCTTTTATGACACGACAGGTAGGAGGATCAAACCACTGACTGAGCTTTGAATCACACCACCGCCCTTCCCCAAACAGATCACTTCCTACACCCGTAGGTCGCTCCCTACCGGAAGCACCAAGGGGTTATACCGCGGGGGAGAGGGGTCAAACTGAGGAACCCAGTTAGAAGAGAGGAGAGAAGCTGTCCGCCCATTACCGATCTGCCACCTTAACCCTTGCTCAAGCAACTGCCTGCCATACAGAATACTCTGCCAGCCCCAGGACGGGCGGGAACGTGCAGTAGCCGTAAGGAACGTACCAGTAGGGAAGTACTTTCCTTTGTAGACTTGAGCTAAAAGGGAGTGGGATTAAGTAATGATCTGCCACCCAATCTTGGCTAACAAGGCTTGGTTAAAAAGCTCAAAACGTCGGAACCCCATGCCCCCATCATGCTTGCTTCTGCACATATTCCTCCACGATAACCACCGAATTTTAGATTGGCCCTCCACCACATTCCACCAAAACCTAGCCACATGTTTATCTAGGAGCCGACAAAGGGAAAGATGAAGTTTGAAACAGGACATGACATGTAACGGTAGCGCCAAGGCTACGGATTTAATCAAGACCTCCTTAGCAGCCCACGACAACGT